ACACACACACACACACAGTTGCATTAAAAGGCTTCCTACCAGCAGCTCAGCCTGCAACGATCTAATGCTGCTCTCTTCATTCTTTTTTCTGCTTTATCAGAATTTTTACAGATTTGTTTTTTATAAGATCAAATAAAGATTCTTTACTGTCGCCGTCTTTGGGTGTTGGACAGAAAGCTCGCTGAAAGATCTTCAGATATTAAACTCCTCCCACGCCCCGGGTCACCTGTATGTGATCCCGCCCACTTTAACACTTTGCTGCAGCGAGTCAGACAGCAGTATGCTCCTCATGCCATTTCCAGGTTACCCCTCAGTGTAGCGGCAGCTAGCTAAGCTCAGCCAATCAAAATTCACCTTGCACATGATTGGTTGTTCCTATGACAACGGTGTATTGCCCTGATCACATATGAAGTGATCGACACGTGTCCTCTGAGGCTTATGGTTGGTCACGAGTAGTAGTAGGGCTGGGCCTCTGGTTGCCTAGGTAACCCTTTAATTACTGCCCCTCACATGTGAGTCGCATGGTCACCTCTATTAACCTTAATTCTGGCCCCGCCCACTTCACATCTCTAAAGCTGCGTACATACTGGCAGCGATTCGCTCACGCCGACGGCTGGTGGCTCTGGTTGCCTAGGTAACCCTCTAACATATGTACTAGCAGGTCATCTGTCAGTCGTGGTATTCTTTACTCGATCGGCGCACTTCCTGTCGCTCACAGTGTCACAGAATGCTGTTCACCTACTGCGGTCATGGGTCGCCACTTCCTGTGTGTAGTTTAATGGTTATTTGCCCGTCTGTTTCGTTTAAGTGAGCTAAAGATAAATCTGATGAAGGCTAAGCTAACTAGCTAAATAGAGGAAGGTGTCTCACTCTCCCAGCGGGTCGTTGCTGTGGATCGACGCTCCGTCGAAGACGTCCACTCCCTTCCCGACACTCCTCAGGCTGCGGAGCGAGGCGGCGCGGTGCATGGTCCCGGAGGTCCTGGACACGTGCTGCTGCTGCTGTTGCTGCCACTGTGTTCCCCAGGTGTCCCCCCCAGGGGGGACGCCCCTGCCGTTCCCCACCCAGCCCTCCTGGCCTAGGCTGGAGCTCTGCTGCTGCTGGTAGTGCTGCTGTCTGTTGGTGATGCGGCTGATGGTGCGGTGGGAGGGGCCTTTATAGGTGTACTGCTGTGGAAGCTCCTCCTCCTGCCAGCAACCTTTCTCCTGGGCCAGAATCCCACTGAGGCTGCGCCTCAGGGTACCTGGTGGCGGCGCAGGGAGAGGAAGCAAAGGGTTCTCTAGACGGCCGGAGGAAGTGACAGGAAGCGCCTCGTGCTCGCCCTGGGTCAGCGACTTAGAGCGTCTGCTTCGGCTGTACACCTGGGAGGTCTGAGAGCTGCTGTGGACCACAGCCGCACCTTTGTGGGTCAGCCGGGAAGTGGTGTCCACAGAAGAGCGAGACGAGAAGCCCGAGGCAGGAAGAGGCACAGCGGGCACCTGGAGACAGGAGGCGTGGGGAGAAAGAAAGGTTAGAGGACGGACTGCTTTCAGATCAATAATCAGTCAGATCAATCATTTGTTAACAGCTCATTAAGTGTTCAGTGAGATTTGTTCCCGGTTGGTTTTGGACTCCGCCCGCTCCTTCCACTTCACAGTCTGGAGGAGGAGCAAAGATCACGGCTGCTTGTTGTGGACGACGTCCTCCTGTTGGCGATGGAGCTGATTGCAGCTCGCTGACAGCTGTGAGGTCTGAGGCCTCACAGGGCAGAGTTCCTTCTCTGGAGTTCAGAGGAGCCTCAAGTTTAAGTATCTCAGGGTCTTATTCCCGGGGGAGGCGCGAGAGGAAGGCGTGATTGATTGGCGTGACACCGAAGCTGCTGATTTACTGGTGGATCTACGTTCCCACCCTCACCTATGACCACGAGCTGTGAGTGGGACTGAAAGAATGTGACTGAGGATGCGAGCAGCTTCCTCTGAAGGATGTCGGTGCTCTTCCTTAGAGATAAGGTGAAGATGTAGTCGTTCAGGAGGAACTCAGATGTGCTTCAGGATGGGACCTGGATGCTTTTCAGGTGCGTCCGACTGGGAGGAGACTCCGAGCAGAGGAGGTGGCCTGGAGCGAGTTTGGCTGTGGAGATGTGTGGCGGCGTGTAACACAGCTAACAGGAATGTGTAACAATACAAATGTCTAAACTCTGCCGCGAGCAGAACTATTTTCGTTCCCCAGAGTCGTATCAAAGCTGCTCACAGCAACCAAGCTTTGTGCAGATATCACTGCACGCCAGGGCGAGGGAGTGACATGGAGCTGAACGGGCGCAGGGAGGAGCATTTTACGGCTCTTCCTCTCCTTCGTTATAATCTGCAGGAAACGCCGTGCAGCCTCTGCATTGTTAAGCTGCAGAGGTGCAGCAGCGGGTCGATGTCCTGTTTGTGTTTTTCTTTTCTTTACATTGTTCTGACACACAGAGGAAACAGTCCGACACAATGGCTGCTCGGTGTGAGCGCCGTGCTCGCAGCACACGCAGGTCGAGTGTGGCACATTTCCAGACGGCACAGGGCAGATGTGACCTGATGAAAAATCATTTCTTCATAACGTTTCTCTTCACGGTTTCATGAGTCCCGCCCCATGAACTTTGAAAGGTCGTCTGAGCCGCTGGTGGCGTCCTGCAGAACAATGCTCTTTGCTTCTGTTGGAGGTCAGAAGGAGAAACGCCGCGGGGCACTGCTGTGGGTGGGGCTGATGAAGAGTTGAATTTGAACAGAAATCATCGTCAGTCTCATCTTTGCGCCATTTTGTGCCTGACGTGGTCAGCTACCGACCTCCCTTTACAGTCTTTTCACCCTCTGCTCCTGTTTCACCACTAAAAGCTACTCGGCGATGGAAAAGATGGCAGCTTTGGCTAAAATACACACTGCACACCTGTGGTCCTGTTTTTAAATAATAATGTGCGAGGAGCGACAGCAGCGTCTCATTAACACGGAGCGTCACGCTCCAAACGACAGCTTGTGTGTAACTGGGAATTATTTCAAATCCCAGGAATGAGGAGAAGCAGCTCAGCTGAAGCTTTGTGCTGCTTCAGGATTCCTGAAAGATCACATTTAGTAATAATAAGAAAAACATTTTATTATTATTATTTTCCTCTGAGCACGAGGCTCATTTCCTCATAGACTTCTATCCAATGGACGTCTTTAAAAGTCGCCCCCTGCTGGATGTTACAGAAATGTCAGGAAAACAACTTTTATTTTTATTTACATTCAAATTCTAAGTATTGACGTCCCTTCTGTGTTGCAGTGGAGCTCCTCCCCCCACAGTGACTCACGCGGTGTGTTTAAAGCTCTTCATCGTGTGTGTGGCGTGTACTCACAGCCATGGCGCGACTCGGTGTGTTTATCATGGATCTGGAGCTGAAACCCTGAGCGTGGCTGTAGCTCTTCATCTCAGGAGGCTCTGCAGAGAGAAGGAAGACAGTCACTCTTACAACTGATGCATGTTCTCACTAG